TACAGGTGTGAGTCACCGTGCCCGGCTCTATCTATGGATCTCTCTATCTATCTATCTAGATGAAATATTATCTTTTGGAACACCAAGCTGAGATCATAACACTGCTGAAAATACATCCCTTTTGGTAAATATTCCATTTTTGGTGTTTCAAATTTTACAGCTTATTTAATAGCAACCCTTAAGTAAATATATCACTTTTTTTTTTTTGAGATGGAGTTTCGCTCTTGTTGCCCAGGCTGGAGTGCAATGGCACCATCTCAGCTCACTGCAACCTCCGCCTCCCGGGTTCAAGTGATTCTTCTGCCTCAGCCTCCCAAGTAGCTGGGATTACAGGCATGCACCACTACACCTGGCTAATTTTGTATTTGTAGTAGAGACAGGGTTTCTCCATGTTGGTCAGGCTGGTCTCAAACTTCCGACCTCATGTGATCTGCCCGCCTCAGCCTCCCAAAGTGCTGGGATTACAGGCATGAGCCACTGCGCCCGGCCAGATGTCTTACTTTCTACGTTCTTTACTTGAGTACAAATATCTTAGTCTTTTTTATTAAGGAGGCAGCAAGAGTTAGAAAAGGTGATGGTGTTTACAAGTAGGAAAACACATGAAAGCCTCCAACCCCAAGGCTGCGTATCAAACGGCAGCCTCCTGTGAGGAGTGAGGCTGTCCTTTGCCCTCCTGCCTCTTCCCCAAACCTTCTGGGATGTCTTTTCGGAAACCTCTTCATTCCTTTTCATTTCCTTCCCTCCTCTGAGCTCTGAAATCCTTTATTTGTGCATTCATTATGACGCTTATGACTCTCTGCATTGAAAAAGAAACATCTCTCCTATCTCTATTATTGCATCTATAAAGCCCTTGAGGACACAGAATCTTTTGCCTATCCTAGGGTGTCTATCAACGAAGTCTAGCACAGAGCAGCCAAATAAACATACTTTGAGCAAACATCAGTTTGTTCTTTTTTGGCCATGCTGAACATATGTCAGTTTGTGCTTAAGAGATATAGTTCAACTTCAGAGACATCCATATATAAACATGGAGGGATTCCAGGGCAATGCCCTCTCTGTACAGGTTTCTGTGCTCTTCCATCTAAGCCTCCACTGTAACCAACTAGAAGGCTGAGAATCACAGAAAAACATTTCCCTACCATTATTCCTGTACTAAGGAGGCACGGTTGCCACCATAAACAGGACTTGCTGGTGGCATTTACAGCTTCTCAGGTGAGGTGGCATTCTGACCAGATGCCAGAAGGCTTGCGACATGGGACAGATATGTTTATTCTATGCACTGTCACACCTTTCCTGGATCCTTTCCCTTCAGAGCTGTGTGCTCTATAGGTTAAGATTTCCTTTTGTGTTGGACTGGTAATGAACAACTCCACTGTTGGTTGTATTTTAAAATTTTATATAATTTCAATCTTACTTGCAGAACAGTATAAAGTTCTAAATACCCTTTAAATTAACTATTGTATTTTCCTCCATTTACTTTATTATTTACTTCGCCTCCCAAATTTCTTCCTTGCCTACCCCCATGTGTGTATGCACATATATTTCTTTCTGAGCCTTTTATTATTTATTTTTTTGAGATAGGGTCTCACTCTGACACCCAGGCTGAAGTGCAGTGGCATGATCACAGCTCACTGCGGCCTCAACCTCCTGGACCAAAGCGATACTCCTGCTTCAGCCTTGGGAGTAGCTGGGTCCACAGGCACATACCATCATGCCCAGCAAATTTTTTTTTTTTTTTTTTTTTTGGAGAGATGGGGTTTTTGCCATGTTGCCCAGGCTAGTCTCAAATTCCTACACTCAAGTGATCCTCTCGCCTTGGCCTCCCAAAGTGTTGGGATTACAGGCATGAGCCATCGCTCCTGATCTTTCTGAGTCATTTAAGAATTGCAGACATCATATTCTTTTACTCCTAAATATTTTGGTATGTCTTTCCTAGGAATAAACATTCTTTTACATAACCATAGCACAATGACCAAAATCAATTTATTTAGTCATTTGTTCATATCTGCAACATACATGAAATAGCGCCAGAATTTTTTCATTTGATCAAGTATCTTATGTGGCTTTCAGGCATCTTTTACAACTCTCCTTATACAGGTTTTGCACATTTTGCACTAAATTTATACTTATTTTTTTTTTTTGCTGTTATAAATGGGATTTTCTCCACCATCGTGTCTTCTAGATGTTATAATGTGTGTATATGAGAGCTACTGATTTACTGATTTCTACATGTTCATTTTATAACTTGCTACCTTACTGATATGGTTTGTCTCTGTGTCCCCACCCAAATCTCACCTCCAATTGTAATAATCTCTGTGTGTCAAGGGTCAGACCAGGTGGAGATAATTGAATCACGGGATGGTTTCCGTTGTAGTGTTCTTGTGATAGTGAATTCTCATTATGTCTGTTTTTTTTTTTTTTTCTTTTTTTTGGAGACGGAGTCTTGCTCTGTCACCCAGGCTGGAGTGCAGTGGTGAAATCTAGGCTTACTGCAACCTCCGCCTCCCAGGTTCAAGCGACTCTCCTGCCTCAGCCTCCTAAGTAGCTGGGACTACAGGCACGTACCACCACACCTGGCTAATTTTTGTATTTTTTAATAGAGACAGGGTTTCGCTATGTTGGCCAGGCTGATCTCAAACTCCTGACCTCATGATTCACCCACCTCAGCCTCCCAAAGTGCTGGGATTACAGGCGTGAGCCACCGTGCCTGGCTGATATGATGGTTTTATAAGGGGCTTCCCCCTTCACTCAGTGCTCATTCTCTCTCCTGCTGCCCTGTAAAGAGGTGCCTTCCATCCTGATAGTAAGTTGCCTGAGGCCTCTGCAGCCATGCAGAACTGTGAGTCAATTAAACCTCTTTTCTTTATAAATTACCCAGTCTTGGGTATCTCTTGATAGCAGTGTGAAAACGGACTATACACTAATCAAAATTTTATGGTTAGTCTTATCGTTGACTCTTTAGGGTTTTGCAGGTATTCTCTCTTGTCATTTGCAAGTCGAAGTAGTTTTACTACTTTTAGAATTCTCAAAATGTATTTTTTAAATTTTATATATATTTTTCGAATTCATAAGCCTCTTATGATTTCTGTTGTCTAACTTCATTAGCTGATACCTTTGGTGTAATGTCAAAAAATCAATAGGTAGAGTGAGCATCGCTGCCTTGTTTTCTTCAATCGGCTCTTAAAAGACCATGTATACAAACAGTATTTTTGAAGGACAGATATAACTCTAGTGTGAGAAATTTCTGGACATTTAGCTGGCAAGATGAGATTATGGCCCCTCTTATGCCTACTAACCGGAATAACAAACAAACAATGAAACTTCAGCAAAAAAGGGCAAAAGTACAAATTTGATTTTATAGTAGTTCATTAAAAACATTTGAGCCAGACCTCAGTTCTACCTTTTTCTTTAAAGGATTTCTAACTAATAATTTTGCTCTTTACTCAGTCATTCATCTAAGACTTATAGAATGCCTGTAATATTCCAGCCATTATCTTAGGTTCTTTCTCACTTTTTACTACACCCATGTGAAATAGGTATTAGCTTCATCTCATAAAAGGACATTGGAGTTTGGAGTGGTTAAATGACTTACCCAAAGTCACACAGTTAGTAAGTATAGACTGATTTTGAATCTGGGTCTCCTAGTTTTGAATTTTTATAAGTACTCAATAATAAATAATAACTAAAAGTTATTTAGTGTTTACTGTTTTACATACTTCATTTATATCGATTGGTTTAATACAACCACCAAATGGCATTTTCATCTTTATTGTCTGTTTTTTATAGATGAGAAAACTGATTGCACAAGTAGCTTGCCAAAGATCACAAGCAATAAAGAAGCTGAAATTGTCTTCGGATCCCGTGGTTAAGAAACCAATCACTACACTGTAAACCAATCACTACAGTATTCTTCTTTCAAAGAAACAAATGAAGTTCTAGGATCATGAGAGATGGAGAGTATTCAATCTCCTGAATGTAAATCTACAACCATTACTTACCAAGTTTAAGTTTTTCTGTTGTTACTTGAGGCAGTGGGTGATTATGCAACTGGAAAGGGAACGAAAAGGCCTTTGCACTCAAGAAAGTAGAAGAAAGGCGCCTGAATCTCTTTATGATAGGTGGTATGTTAAATTTAGGTGTTTTCGTATTTCAAACATATCCCACTTCTTGCAAAACTGCAAAATGCAACACAACTTTAAATGTAAACATAGCTTCCAAGGGCACAGTGCTGAACATATAATAACCTGTGTGTACACTAGGTTATGTAACAGGACTGTAAACACTGGTCCTGGAATGGCCTGGGAGGTCATCTAGGCCCTCCGCCATCTTTCTGCAGAGTACTGAAGCCTAGCTACGTTGTCTGCAGACTCACAAAGATGACCCCCGGCTTATACTGCCTTAGGTTACCTAATACCTTTGTTTGCATTTCCTCTCTCCTTTCCTGTCTGCTTGTGCTAAAGAAAAAAGGCCTGGCTTCACCTTCTTGGGAGCCAAAACACAACCAGAGAGCGAGTTTGGAGCCGGTCAGGCATCTTGCGAACTGCACACAAAATAGCCCAAGGTCAGAGAGCGCGCCAGGCCCGCCCTGAAAGTTTCTCCGCAGGAAAATCCGCCGCTCTTTCCCAACCATCCGCGTGGGTGGCTCGGAAATCCGCCACCCTGGGGACACAGCTCCCTGCCCATCTCTGTGGCCCGCTTGTGCCTCGTGCCGCTGGGCCAAGAGCCTCGGGCTCGCACCTCTCAGTACAACCTAGGGACATCAGGAGTCCTGGGGCCCAGTAGGCGCTCTCTGCCGGCCCGGGCGTGGCCACTCCTAGCGGACCCAACTAATATCCTCCAGCCTCAGCCAGTGCGCTGGAGGGACGGGGCCGCCAGCCGATTGCGCTCCAGGACTATCCCCATTGGGCCAGAGAATGAGTGACGCACTAGGCCCCGCCCCGCCCTGGCGGGGTTACTCCTTTCACGCCCGGCCCCCGTCCCTAGCCCCGCCCCGGCGCCCCCGGCTGCGTCCGCGTCGTCATCTGCGCTCCGGACGCTGACGTGTCTGGGCGGTCGGCTTCCACTCCTCCCGGCGCCGGCAGCCACTAGTCGTGGCGAGAGGGGCGGGGTGGCCGGGGCTGGCGTTCCCCTTGGCCCCCGCTCCCGGCCCGCCCCGCCGCCGCGGCCCCCCGGATGAGGGTATATATTCGGAGCGGGCGCGGGACGCCGATGAGTGGCTGCGCGGAAGGAGCTGGAGACAGGCGTAGCTGTGGTCGCGCCGAGGAAGGTGAGGAGCTCCCAGCCCAGCGAGGGGACGGCGGGCCCTGGACCCGGGCGGGCGGAGGACCTGGCACCGCCGCACACACAGCCATGCGCTCAGACGTGGACACGCGTCGCACGAACGTGCACAGCGCGGGCAACCGAGCACACACACCCCCCAGCCCGTGCGCCCCTCAGTCGCACCCCGTCGTCCGCCACCCGGCGAGAGGGTGTGTGGGCTGGGCAGCCGGGTGGATGGCGGGGCCAGGGATGGAATGATCTCGCCCCAGATGGACTGGGGGCGTTGTGAGAGGAGGTCTGGGCCAGTGTCTGGAGTCCGAGGGGGTTGTGTAGGCGTGTGGGGTTGCGAGTGGGGCCTTTCCCGGGTGGGCAGTAGAGACCTCGAGGCTCTCAGGCTAGGGCCTTGTGGACAGTTATACCAAGTGGGGGGGCCTCCAGTGGGACAGGAGATCGTTGGAACTGTCAGGTGGAAGCGAGTTCGTGTATCTTGAATATATGAGAAAAATAATTGAGAGCTCTGACAAAGACGGGATACATTTGGAGGACAGGACAGTGGGACAAAACCTGTTTGCTTGCCACTTTTTTCTTTCTTTTTTTTTGGTTTGGTTTGCCATGATACTGGTAGTGAGAGAGAATTGAAATTTCTGGGTTTCCCCGTGCTTGGCCAAGCAGAAGGATGGTATTGGAGGGCTAAGTACACATATGCTGAACATATGGCTGCTTGAACTTTGGCCTGACGCTGTGCTACACTTACTTCTACGTGGTTTATGAAATCTGGAATCAGGTAATAGGATTATAATCATATGTGTGTGTCATTTGGTATTGCAAAAGTTTAAGGACTTTTAGGTGAAATTCACTGGGTGTGGACCCAAGAGTTCGTCGGAAACTAAAGGCAGTTGTCTGTTCCTTCACTGTTAGTCAGTTGGCTCACTTAGCTGGAGCTAAGAAAGACTTCTTAGGCTGTGCTGCCAAGCATTTATAGGATTCAGTTGGTGGTTATGTCTCAACGCTGATACTGTGTTTTAAAAGCTGTAAAAGGTTTACTTAATCATTTCGAGGGCATACATATACCAGCAGAGATAGGGGCCGAGTGGGGGAGGCCAGAAAAGGAGGGAGAAATACTGGATTTCTTTAATACTGGTATTTAAATTCTAATAAAAATATATTTGATAATGGTAGATTATTACCAAATTTGTCATATATTTTGATGCAGATGGATTAGGCTGTGGGCATGTACCAAGTTTTGTTATAATTTCTAGAGCAGCTTTTCAACTTTTTCAGTTTTCGGTTGTCAAAATAAAAATTCTTGTCTTTTAACTCTTCTGTTCATTGCTGCTTACCATTACACACACATGCCTCTAAACATCGTTAATGGGAAATATGGTACTATTTTTGTGGCATGAAGATGCTTATGTCTGCCTCAGATAAATATAATAGGTGAATTGTGCTTGTCCAAAACTCAAGTATGGTTATTACATTATAAACATTATACAACATGTAAATGAGTACATGTGACCAGTGGTTTAGGTCCAGATATCAAAGTTTAACCTATGAGGTACCTTTTTTTCTTTTTCTTTTTTTTCTTTTTTTGAGATGGAGAGTCTCACTATGTCGCCAGGCTGGAGTGCAGTGGCGTGATGTCTGCTTACTGCAACCTCTACCTCCGCCGTCCAAGCGATTCTCCTGCCTCAGCCTCCTGAGTAGCTGGGACTACAGGCGCGCACCACTATGCCCAGCTAATTTTTGTATTTTTAGTAGAGATGGGGTTTCACCATGTTGGCCAGATGGTCTCCATCGCTTGACCTCGTGATCTGCCCGCCTCGGCCTCCCAGAGTGCTGGGATTACAGGCGTGAGCCACCGCGCCCGGCCCTATGAGGTATCTTATTTGCATGGATTCATTTTTCCAAGTGTCTGAAGGTGGAGGAATATCTAATGATGACCTTTTAGAAAAGTTTGGTTTATATCTTAAAATGTTATAATAATATGTTTGTGTATGCCTTTTAGCAGACAGAGCACTCTTTACTCTTGACTCTCTTGAAGGCATGTGAGAAAGGTTGGTTGTCTTATATTCATGAGGAAGTATATGCACAGGGAGGTAAAATGATTGCATAGAATCAAATGATGGAGAAGGACCAAGAACAGGGACTTCCTATTCCTTGGTTATCTGGTTCCTTGCTGATCTTCCTATTACAATGTACTCTCTTAAATCAGAGGCAAAGCAGTAGCATAAATGAGGTCTTGGGAAAAACTACATTCCTTGGAAAATAATTTAATATAAATCTGTTCCTCTCAAGTGTCTTTCTTAATGTGATTTTTTAAAATTACAAAATAATAGCATCATGACTCTTGAAACCTATATAAATCAATAGGAATGCCTTTTAATACCATAACGAACATTGAAAGCTAAGTGTTGTTATTACCACCTCAGGGAACACACAGATGTAGGTTCTCTAGACCTGAGCTTGTAAATGGTGTTTGATGTTTAATGATCCTGGTGAGGTAGATACTATTATTAATCTCATTTTACAGACAAGGTCACCGAGGCATGGGGAAATTAAGTGGCTCAGCTGAGCCTAGAATTGTGCTCTGAACTACCATGTGTATTACTTTTCACTGTTCTCATAGGAGAAGATAAGTGTCTTTAGTACCTACTTTTTCCCTCTGTCCCTCACATCGAAGCAATTATAATGCAGTGATGATTCTTTACAGTGACCCTCAGATTTATTCCTTTCACTCTTATTTTCTCTGCCACTAATCTGGTTCAGACCTTTGGTATTTCATACCTGCAGTTGTCTTTTAACTTCTTTTCCTGCTTCTAGTTGTCCCTCCTTACAATCTATTGTATGCCATTGCTCCTTTCTCTCATCCTTTAAAGCATGGTAACGCTGCCCTGTTTGAGAATCTGCTGTTCACTTTCTGTTACTTCTTCTCTAAAGTCTAAATTCTTTTGGTTAGTTTTCAGACTCTTCATGATCTAGCCCTACCCTAGGCCATTTTATATCATTTGTCATACCTTAACCTTCTTACTGCTTTCCATCCCACACGTGCTTGCTCCTTATGGCCACCAGGCTCTGCTTGTTTCCTAATCTTTTATTTTTTTGAGATAGAATTTCCTGTCGCCGAGGCTGGAGTGCAGTGATGTGATTACGCTTCATTACAGCCTCGACCTTCCGAATTCAGGTGTTCCTCCCACCTCAGTCTCCTCAGTAGAGTAGCTGGGACTACAGGCATATGTCACCACACCTGGCTGATTTTTGTGTTTTTTGTGGAGGTGGGGTTTTGCCATGTTGCCCAGGTAGGTCTTAAACTCCTGAGCAGAGGCCTGTGCTGGGATTACAAGTATGAACTACCATGCCTGGCCTCTAATCTTATCTATGTAGTCTGCCCAACCCTTAACATATGGCTAGATCCTGCCTGTTTGTGAACTTTCATTTTTTTTTTTTTTTTTTTTTTGAGACGGAGTCTCGCTCTGCCGCCCAGGCTGGAGTGCAGTGGCCGGATCTCAGCTCACTGCAAGCTCCGCCTCCCGGGTTCATGCCATTCTCCTGCCTCAGCCTCCCGAGTAGCTGGGAGTACAGGCGCCTGCCACCTCGCCCGGCTAGTGTTTTGTATTTTTTTTTTAGTAGAGACGGGGTTTCACCAGGTTAGCCAGGATGGTCTCGATCTCCTGACCTTGTGATCCGCCCATCTCGGCCTCCCAAAGTGCTGGGATTACAGGCTTGAGCCACCGCGCCCGGCCAAGGAAAACATTTTAATATTAACCAGTCAAGTGTTCTTTCAGTGGTAGCTTAGTAGTCGGAGGACTAATACAGAGACAACTAAATGTGGTAAAGAGTGTGAGCCATGTCATCAGGCTGCCTGGGTTCCTATCCCAGCTCCACTCATTAGTTAGGTTACTTAGCCTCTCTGCCTGTCTTCTCAACTGTAAAAGAGTGGTAATAATAGTGCCTATGCCATAGAGTTGTTGAAAATTAAACAAGACCATGAAGGTAAAGTACTTAGAAGTGCCTGGTGCATATTTTTGTCTTACAGGTTTGATCTCTTACAAATATTGAGTGATGGAAAAGCAGAAGTTAATTTTTTTAACATCGTTTTAAAAATATTCTTATTTTAGAGGGGGAAAACCCCCTCAATTTTGGAGGTTGAATTTTGACGTGCCATTAATTATTTTTCTCTTTTCGGTTTATAGGTACGTACATTACACCCCTATTTCTACAAAGCTTGGCTATTAGACCATTATGAACATTAATGACCTCAAACTCACGTTGTCCAAAGCTGGGCAAGAGCACCTACTACATTTCTGGAATGAGCTTGAAGAAGCCCAACAGGTAGAACTTTACGCAGAGCTCCAGGCCATGAATTTTGAGGAGCTGAACTTGTTTTTCCAAAAGGCCATTGAAGGATTTAACCAGTCTTCTCACCAAAAGAATGTGGATGCACGAATGGAGCCTGTGCCTCGAGAGGTATTGGGCAGTGCTACAAGGGATCAAGATCAGCTCCAGGCCTGGGAAAGTGAAGGTACTGGGCATGTACATATTTCTTCTGAAGTTTATTTGAGATATACTAAAATTGTTCAGGTAGCTGGATCATGTCACTAATATTTTGATTCATACTACATTAAGCTAGGTGATCTAGCAGAAAGTGACAAAAATTGTCTTTTTATTTTTGATGCTCCATTCAAGGCTTCTCTCATTCAAGTCTTAATTTGCCTTCAGTCTCTTTCCCTCCTTAGTTTCCATACTTCTGCTAGAATTCTTTTCCCGAGGCACAAGTTAAATACTTAAGTTTAAGCTGGCTTAATTTTTTTTTTTTTTAAGACAGAGTCTCACTCTGCTGCCCAGGGTGGAGTGTAGTGGGGCAATCTCAGCTTACTGCAACCTCTACCTCCTGGGCTCAAGTGATTCTCCTGCCTCAGCCTCCCGAGTAGCTGGGATTATAGGCATGTACTACCATGCCTGGCTAATTTTTGTATTTTTAGTATAGGCAGGGTTTCACCATGTTGGCCAGGCTGGTCTTGAACTCCTGACCTCAAGTGATTCGCCCACCTCGGCCTCCCAAAGTGTTGGGGTTACAGGTGTGAGCCACTGCGCCTAGCCCAGCTGGTTTAATCTTTAATGCCTTAACCTGACCCTAACCCATATTTCCAATCAACATTTTAGCTGAACCAAATAATTCGCCTTTCCCTGAAATAATTCACCTTTCCCTGCCTTTGCTCATGTTTATCCTTAGCTTGATGTGCCCTTTGCCCTTTCTCTACCTAGCTAGGTCACCTTGTAAGGTCATTTCTTGGAGTTGTACAGTGCAGTAGTTCTGCCACTTGGGGAACTTACACTCATTCATTAAGGTTCACCACACATAATATTTGATCTATGACCTTTTCTTCTGTGTCCCAAGTTACAATGAGTTGTTCATGCTTTTATTTCATTCTAGCTTATCATAAGAAGTGTTTGTCTTCCTTAGTACATTGTAAATTCTTGAAGAGCAGCCCCTGTACTAGTTGTCTCTGCATGTTACATAGCATTTAGAAAAGAGTTTTATAGTTATAAGTTGATCAATAAGTGTTTGTTGAATTGCCCCAATGCTTTTCATTCTAAAGCATGTAAAAATATCTGTCCCCTTAACCTAATACTAATTTGTGCTTTTGAGAATGACAAAATAGCTCAACTGTAGCTTTTGGTGGAGTTGAAAGCTGTGCTTTTTATAATCTATTACTCCTTTGTAAGTAAAATGTTGACTAAATATTGTAGGTGATTCCCTGAGTGTTTGTACATGATCCTTGTCACATCTGGGCCTCATTTTCTCAACTGTGAATGAGAGCTTGGGCAAATACTTTCCTTAACTTCTTAAAATACATTATTTTATTGCAAAAATATTGTTGAAATAACAGATTGCCCATAATCTCATCAAAGCTATATTTTTATTTGCTCACATTACCACCCAGTGCTTGATTGTATACTTATTTTTTTGTTTCTTTGTGCTTTTTTTTTTGAGACAGCCTCGCTTTGTTGCCCAGGCTGGAGCGCAGTGGTGTGTTCCTCACTCACTGCAACCTCTGCCTCTTAGGCTTAAGCAATACTCCTGCCTCAGCTTCCTGAGTAGCTGGGATTATAGGCGTGAACCACCATGCCTGGCTAAGTTTTTGGTATTTTTAGTAGAGATGGGGTTTCACCATGTTGGCCATACTGGTCTCCAACTCCTGACCTCAAGTGATCCGCCCACCTTTGCTTCTCCCAAGTACTGGGGTTACAGGTATGAGCCAGTGTGCCGGGGTGGATTGTATATATATTGGATTTCATAGATGTGTAGTAATGCTATAGATACAATCTTATAGTCTGTATTTATAACATGGCTATTTTTATTTTGTTTTCCACTCTTTGGCATCCCCTCACCCCCTGTAAAAGAAAGATTACTGGCATCATCAACCTGCTGTATACCTCTCTCTGTCTTTCTCAAGGCTCACAAATTTACTGATTTTCAAAGGGTGTTCCAAAGAACCCAAGGGTTTTCACTGTTGGAGAAGCTGCCTCTTATAGGGAGGGAGGGAGGGAGCAGATACTAAACTGGTAGGTCTCCAACCCCTTTATTCTCCACTATGAGTAGTTCTACTTTTTTCTGTTCTGTGTATTTGATCTTTACGTGAGGTTTTATTTTATTTTTTATTTATTTATTTTATTTATTTATTTATTTTTTTTTGAGACGGAGTCTTGCTGTGTCTCCCAGGCTGGAGTGCAGTGGCGTGATCTCGGCTCACTGCAAGCTCCGCCTCCCGGGTTCACGCCATTCTCCCGCCTCAGCCTCCCAAGTAGCTGAGACTACAGGCGCCCGCCACCACGCCCGGCTAGTTTGTTGTATTTTTAGTAGAGACGGGGTTTCACCATGTTAGCCAGGATAGTCTCGATCTCCTGACCTCGTGATCCACCCGCCTCGGCCTCCCAAAGTGCTGGGATTACAGGCTTGAGCCACCGCGCCGAGGTTTTATTTAAAAGAGTTTAGAGGTTTAAAAACAGTTTGAAAATAATTGAATCTTCTTCAAGGAGGTGCTTTTCAGATGTAAAATGCTTGGTGGTAGCTAACTTAGCTTTTTACCTAGGATAGGGCTCTGCCACTAAGATGTGAGAGAATGATGCCTAGATGTGTCCTTGTGAATGAAGAGTTTTAAGTGATACCATGACTCCTGTTACTTTGGATTCACTAATCCTTCCCTCCTTCCCTGGGTTTCAAAAAGGCTACTATTCCCAACCAAAAACCACACAGGCCTTTCTTTACCCTCTAGTATCCCAGTTGCCTATATTTTTCCTTGGGATTTTAAGGGGATGAAGTATTAGTAGTAACTCTTATGGAAAGTCAAAGCTTTGACCTTGTGTAATGGGGAACATAAGCCACAATTAAGATATCCTATAATTTGAGTCTTCTTTATAGCCTTTTTGTTGGACTATGTGGAGCTAGTCTACTTTTATGGCTTTTCATGTAAACTAAAATCTGGAACTATTAGAATCAAATATAGTATAACACGGTGTAAACTTCCTTTTGGCTTAGTGTCAAGGGAAAGGTATTTATCTGTAGCTTAAACAGTAAGGGTGGAGAAGGAGACTTTATGTTGACATTATTATCCTTTTCACTTAGCCAGAAACTACTATGTATCTGCAAATTCATAACAAAATGAAGTTTCTGCAGTAAGTTATCAAAGGGAAGAGAAGCCATTGCGAAGATCATGGCATTGTATTTCAGGTAGTAGGAAGATCCTGCTAATTGTATCAGGGACAGTTTTTACTTCCCCACACCTCCACCTCCTCAGATTGGGGGAATGAAAGCATTGTCCAGTAGTTGCAAAGTATCTGGTGGTTATTCAGATGATAATGGACATTTTTACAACTAGAGTGGAAAATTATTTATTTCTGAAGGATGAATATAAGTGACCACTGTATTCCTTGTTAAAGAGAGATCTTGCTTTATTTCTTGAAGTTTTCTGGCCAGTTGTAGAAAAAGGAATGTAGAGGAGCAACTAGAAAATCTTTATTTTACAAAGCTGAGATCTTGAAAGAGAAGTAATTACCAGCTTTGAGAATGTTATTTTAGTAAAGATACAGTGGGAAAACCTGTTTGCTTGATAAAAATACCCATTTATTAAAACAAATGCATGCTTATTTGAACACAAATCTACCAATTTTATATTATAATATCTAATTAGTATTCAGTCTTAGTCTTTTTTGCCTATAAGACGTTTTCCTGTTAATCATAATGGTGCTTCTCTACTATATAGCACTATGGTAGAAAAGTAAGTGGATTGTTTAGAAGAAATGCATTCTTAACATTATCTCCCTCTACATTTTCTGAAATCTAGGATACTGATGTTTTTAATAGATTTGTTTTATTTTAAAAGTAATACGGCTGGGCACTGTGGCTGACGCCTGTAATCCCAGCACTTTGGGAGGCCGAGGCAGGAGGATCATGAGGTCAGGAGACCGAGACCATCCTGGCTAACATGGTGAAACCCCATCTCTACTAAAAATACAAAAAAGTAACTGGGTGTGGTAGCAGGTGCTTGTAGTCCCAGCTACTCGGGAGGCTGAGGCAGGAGAATGGTGTGAACCCAGGAGTCGGAGCTTGCAGTGAGCTGAGATTGCGCCACTGCACTCCAGCCTGGGCGACAGAGTGAGACTCCATCTCAAAAAAAAAAAAAAAAGAAAAAACATATTTATTTTAGAGAAATGGGTAAATACTAAAAATTACAAAGGAAAAAATACAAATCTCTGTGATTCCACCATCGAGAGATACTCACTAGTAATATTTTACAGTATTTTCTTTCACGCACACACACATACGCATATATTGGGATTGTGGTGCGTGTATAGTTTTGCAGCCTGCACAAGAATTTATCATGAAAAATGTCAAGGATATTTTGAAACAAATATTTAGCGGCAAATTCAGTACAGTGAACCCCCACATAAGCCACCTTAATTAAAAATTATGAAAGTTTTGCTCCTTTTGCTTTCTCTCTCCCTCTTTTTTTTTTTTTTTCCTTTGCTGCAGTATTTTAAGGCAAATCCCAAACATCATGTTATTTTTATCCTCATATAGTTCGATATCCGTGTCTAAATATATGGGCCTTTTCTTACTGATCACATGCCATTATTATACCTAACGAAATTCATCTAATGTAATCTCTGCTACCTAAAACTGGTTCAGATAGAGATTTTCCTGATTGTTTTGCTTTTTGTGCTTACTATTTTGGGGAAATATTGTAGTTTCAGCTATAACGTGATTAAAAATTAAAGACTTAAATTATTCTCTCTAACTTTCTTGGATAGCTTTCCTTTATTTCTAGCAGTTGAATAGCCTGTTTACCCAACTCTACTTGTCCTGGAGTTCTGATACTTTAAATGAAAGTTCTGACAGTGCTTTACTCCAAAAGGACCTGTGCTATCTTCTTTGTTAAAGTCTACAGAAGGAACTAGTCTAAGTAGGAAGTTATCCAGGAAGCATTTGACTTCTGACAGGCCACTGTAAACTTTTCTGTT